AGCGATGAGTTTTTAAATATAAATATAGTTTTTTGATTTTTATGGACAATTTCTAATATTTTTAGGATTTTCATTTCGTAAATACTATGTTACATCTTTACGTGTCTGCACACGAGCACATGGTACTATTGTTAATACGATGCTTGTTTATCCTAGAAAGTCTCACGAAGTCTCGTGACTCTATTGCAGGATGACCGTGACAAGTTTTCACAGCAGAGGAGACAACGATCGCTGTGTAATAATACAATCGAGTAATTTGCGGTGTAACTTTACAAACTTGCCAAATACGCCGGGACACAACGGCCTGGTCTCTCGAGCGACGCCGCAGGGAAATTGAACGTCCGCTGCGATTCCGACAGCATGCATGGTTATTGCACACCACAGCAAGAACGAAATGACGTCACCTGGTGTCACGTGAGACCATTTTTGGAATATTAGTGCCACATATTAGTGACATCACTTCCATTTGTCAAATCAATCAGAAAATTGTTTTCAGTGTCGAAAATTTGATATCCAGGCCTATTTTTAATCTTCATTTAACATCCAAGTTTCGAGAGCACCACTCCACGAAGACGGTTCATGAAGCCGTCACGGAAGACCAAGGCACGATTCCTGTCCAACAGAGCAATGTGGCGCCTCCGTCACGAAATGTGAACTCGACCGACAGTCAAATAAACCAGCGTGTAAATTCCCATTACCAGCGGCACGGTTCTCAGCTTTGAATGACCGTCGTACCCTCACAACGAGCGTGTTCACATTATTTTTTTTTACGCTCGGCAAACAGCGTCTCATTAGAATTTCGGGAGAACAAGAATGTGAACAAAATTCTGCCAACGATAACAGATTTGTGTGACAACGCGGAGCCGTGAGAGATAGCGACGGCTTGTGGAGGCCTTCATCCAGCAGTGCGTAGATCGTGGCTCACGACGATGATGATAACCGATTTGTAAACGGCTGAACGTGTTCGACAGACCAGTGCTCGCTGATTAATATGACGGAGTTCTGCGAAACCAGTGGCAGCGTGGGACAGCTGCTCCCACGGGCAATGCAGGAAATTTCTGCTCAAAAGCATTTGCAAACATTCACTCTCAGCTAGTCTGTGACCAAATGACACACAAGGTGTCCGATATAATTTGCATCTCAAAAGCTAAGCATGCTTGGGCCTGGATAGCGCTTGGATTGACGTCCCCTGCAGACACAAATAGGTTGTCATTGGGATGGGGCCTACGTTACAAGCAGCAGAGGTCTTCTCGGCAACACCCATTGTTGTCATGTACTCATGCGCTCCTTCGTCTATGCTACCCACCGTCACCAACCCGCAGTGACCGGAGTGGTGAGTTATGGTCAAAGAGTCACCACGACTTGCACAGCATTGGAAGGTCCTCATCCGTTTGTGGATTGACAAAAGGGTCACTCACTAACTATACGTGCACGCGGAGTGTCAGGTAAAGATTCCTGGTGAACACGGGCAGTCAAATAAGAGACAGAAGCTAATCACGGTGACCCGACATGAGGATTTATCAAGTGACCTCACACTCAACATTGTAACCACTCTTAGCACCACCAAAAGACAAAGATCCCCTGTATAGCCTATAACAAACTGTTGGGACAAGTGCTGTTAGCGAGCACCTATGAAGGCCAGAACGGCACACGACAGCGTGGGTGACCAGCACCACGACCAACCGCCTTTGTCTCCCTAGTGGTGATGTTTACACACCGCACTGGGCACTCATTTGAGGCTGAGTCGACCTAGGAGAGTGGGGGGGGGGGGCAGGACCGGTTCAGATAATCGTCGCTGGTGTTGGCCGTGAGCGAGAATCGAACTCGGGCCGCCAGATTCGTAGCGCAGCGTAGCGCTAACCGCTACACCACCGCTCCACCACTCTGAGCACCGCAGCACACAGAATGACCGCCCACGACTGCTCGGCTGCCAATTTGGCCTCAGCCTGCTCCGCTAAACTGGGCCGGAACAAGTAAGGCCTCGAATGCTGCTGCACATGAAGGTGATCTTTTAATAGAAAACTCCCTTCCTGCACGCCGTGTTGCTGCTGCTGCTGTGCGCAGTTCAACTCGGGCCCCAGCTCTTACGGCGATGGTCATAGAGCAGAACTCCTCTTATCCGCTGTGATTTGAGGACGAACATCACGGATCGTATTATCCGCGAGGTTATCCGTGATTCTTTCTTACTTCATTTACCCGCGTGAAAACATCGCGGAGGAGTTAATTCCATGCAATATGAAGGGCAGGGAAATTTACGTCTTCAATTCTCACAGCTGGAATTTAGCCAAATTATATGCGGAACCACATTTCACGTGTTGGGAATTTAAAAAGAATTAAAAAATTGGTTTCGAAGCTGAGACCATAGTCACCTCGCTTTAAAACCCCGTTATTCACCATCGGCTGCCTGGGTTCAAACCCAGGACCTCAGCGGTGCCGGGTCCGTACTCTGACCTCTGAGCCACCCGACCTAGCAGTGAGCCAATCATATATGGTTATCTTGAACAAGACATGGAGGTCAACCCTGAAGGACCCGGGTCTTCATAACACTTTGAGCATCTAAATGCCATCCACGTGAATGACACTTCGCCTAACGATGTTGGAACCTTGCAACCTGAGCAGCGTGTGTTGTCGAGTTCTCCACCAGCCGGGGTGGATCTGGTGCACGCCGCTCCACGTCTCGTTGCCTACTGGCCATGTGGTGACCGCAACGCAGCAGTTACTCATTTATTTTAATATGAAATAGGACAGAAAGTCTCGTCGGTCCATTGGCTTAAGAGTCAATGCATTGGTTAAAGGTGTGGATCTGCACACTTTTAATACACCGTTATAAACTGTTTGTCATTTCCCTTATAGACTGTAGCAGCACTCCTCTAGCCCTTTCACACGTCAATCCTATTATCCACACAAATTATAGAGTCCACAGGAAGTGCCACGATTATATTATTATATTATCCGGACCATATTCTTCCTTGTATCTTCATGTTTTTCCACGCAGCACTGCCGAATGGCTTCCTATAATACACACATTTTGCAGATAATTGGAGTTCATCCTCAGATGAATCCTACTATCCTATTGTCTCAAAAAGGACCCGCGACCATCGTCCCGTACATTGCCTCGGATACGGAGAGCTCTACTGTATAGATCGAATGTAGAATCATGTCTTATTTAAAAATAATACGCACAGATATAGCTACGCGCACTGCTAAACAATCGCAGTCCGATGACAAGCGCGTGGTGAACACATGCAAGACTCCCTCTATTATTAGGCCCTGTTGCTTCTAGCCAAGGGCAGGGGCAATGGGCAGACGGCACTGCCCATGGGCTTAGCAAGAGCCCCACACACCAACGCTAAACTCCCTGCACACACGGGCCATTAAAACGTCAACGTGAGTTCTTGCCAAAATGAGCATTGAGGCACTGGTGCTCATCTCCTGTTTGCAGCCCTGAGCCCGTGCTGGGCATTCCACATTCCTATGGTGGGGGTTTTAGTGTCACCATTGGACGACCACCAAAATTTGACTTCTCCACAACGTGGTAGATATTTTAAGGACGCTGGAACGATGGTGGGCTGTCAACCCCCAACCGGGATGTGAACTCGCGACCTTTCGATCGCGAGCCGCTTGCTCTGCCTCTGAGCCACGTGGCCGGGAGGTCGGCAGGAGCCGTGCACAGACCGCACGAGTGCAACGTCCGCGCCTTGCTACGTCAAACACGCGGTGTGCACAACAGGCCAGGGACATCACGAAGAGAGTCGCTTGGCGTTTAAAAGATACGGTCTGCAACACGCACTTAAGTGGTCGACATCAGCCGCGATCTATCCACAGCAGGATGAAGCGATTCCCTCGTTGTCACCGTGTTGTGGCGGATGTCCTCTCGGGGCGTGGTCGCTCCCTTGACTGCCACTCCTTGCTTAGTCTCGACCACCTCTAGCAACGTGGCCTGCCCGAGCCCACTTACTTTTCTTAACGGTCAATAGGATGCCCATAACTTGCCTATGTTCTCCAACCCACGTGTTCCTCGCTCTTCCTCAATATAATTAGAAGTTTGATTAACTGGTATGCACTGACAAAGCAGCACTTTGAAATTACATTCGGGATATAATTATAGTCACGACTTCATGATGCAGAGTGAATACACTGTACATGTTCAGCCAATAATAAACAAGAAAGATTCAACACTCGATATTAAATGCAACATTGAGACTACATTAAAACCACGAAATTACACTTGGCGATCCATTAACAGAGTTATGAATGACTCTCTTTAACTTGTCAACAGGTGACTGAATGTTGTGAATGGGATGGCTCCGCATCTCACAGACGAGTGGGATTACAGGGGTCGCCGGCCTGCGGCATGCGGCTCTTTAAGGAACTGCCTCGTGACTTTATTTATTTCAGGACCACCGTCTCGTATCCACCACCACAGTGCGTTGCGGCTCTTGAAGTAGAGGTTTTTTTTTCAACATAGAATTCTAAAAAGAACGTCTCTACTTGTTGTTTTGGTTGCAGAGCCCCCGAGTTAGAAGTCTGATGAAGTACGCGACTCGTGTCGTGGCGTTCAAGTGAAAAGGTCGTTCTCTCTTTAATCTCTCACCATTGTTTCCACGGGACACCTATAAATAGATCAGACCGTATTAAAATAATGACACGTGTGTAATCAAAACCTCGTGCTGCGTCTCCACGTATAAATACAGTACACACACATTGTTCACCAGCCTGCTGGGATTCCAGACCACTATTATCGAGCAGCATTTGTTTTGAGCTAGCAAACTTTGGACGGGTTTAGACTTTCTGCGTCTCATCCGCAGAGTCAGGCTCGTTAAACATTTGCTGCTGGATTTCCATATGGCGGTGGCAAGAGCACTCCACACACACACTCCGTGGTGTCGTCTCGGTGTGCTCCAGCAGCACACACGCACGATGCTAATGTATACAACACGCGTGCGTTGCGGCGTTCGTCAGAGCGACGAAGGTGGACAGAGGAGGAGAGGCCGTCTCACCTCTCTGCTGGGCTTCAGTGAACCCGGCACAGGCGGCACAAGTGACGAGCAGCAGCAGCAGCAGCGCGCATTCTCGTGCCCTCATAGTTCCAGTCTCAACACCGATCACGGTGTGGTGGCGAATCTCCTCTCCACAGTCACCCTCGAGTGTTCACGCGGCGAAGCTGTCCAGCGCTTGGCTGTTGATGTCACAGCCTCCGAGACGACGACTGGATGATGCGGTTGATGAAGATAGTTGTGATGACGAACGCGTGCGAGAGTTTGCCACCGTGCTGAGCCATGCAATGAGTGGGGCGCCCCGCGTCGCAGCTGCGCGCTACTGCGCCTGTAGTCCGGGCTGCGGAGGAACGCGGCAGCTTTAAAAATAAAAATAAAACTCGCGCCTCCAAACAAGGAGAGAGAGAGAGAGAGGTCGGGTGCGTGGTGGTTGGTGGTGGTGGCCACTGCGTGATCGGTGGCATGCCAGGAAGGCAGGCCAACTCATTGACAGTATATATACTACAGTCTATATAGATGTTGACGTGGTGTAATGGCTAGGACGCTGGACTTGCAATCTCGAAGATCGCCGGTTCGATCTCCTGTCGCGGAAGTTTTTTTGTTCCCACTTCGCCAGTGGAATGAAGTGGGCGAAGGAGAAAATGCGGACGTCCAGAATAAACGTCTGTAGTGTATGTACGGTGAACTTCTTTCGCACCGTACGTAGCCAACCATGCGAATCGGAAGTGCGCGGAAAGGACAAAGTAAACACAAAAATTAGTAAAAAAAACAATCGGTAAAAAACTAAGCTTTCCAATGCACGCACTTTTATTTGCACTCAAAAGTAGAAAATAAAAACATGTGACCGCTGAATTAATCAAATATCGATGTGCTGAATAAAAGTGTGTGGCTCGCAAAAAGAAAATGAAACGCATCGAAAAGAAGCCACCCATTTTTATTGAGCACTTTAAATTGAATTAATTTGGGGGTCTAAATAATTTACTTTATACTTTTGAGTGCAAATAAAAGTGTGCATGTTTTTTTATATAACGCAATAGTTAGTTTATCACGTAGTGGGGCTTTCGCGGCCAATATTATCCACATAGACGTTCCTAGCACAGCACTAACCGGTGCGTTGGAGAGTAAACCCACTGCAACATTTACTATTCAAATACCGTGACGTGTCGCCAGTAATTGCACTCAGCATCATCAGGCGCCAGCCATAATTGTGGAGAATTCCTCCTGTTTTGTTCTTAAATGTCGGTGGTGGCGGGTTTAACGATACATTTATATTTAGGCGATCTAACCCAAACACCTCTCCATAATGAGCCTAATGGTTGTTGTGGGGCTCTCGCGCTAAGGGGGGAGAGGGCAGTGCAGCGTCCACTCGAGCGCCGTGACGAGTGGCGATCGGAGCGCGCCGCCTCTCATTGACCGCAGCATGGCCAGCGACAGCCACTGTGGATGGACGTCGAGACGTTTGGCGTTCGTAGGTCGGTCGCGACCATTCGTGATTTCGAAAAAAGGGGGTGGGGGGTAAAATTTTGGATTATGAACGAGTCAAAATGTAGTTAAGAACACGAATAGGGCCACGAAGGGGCAGGCCCTGGACCCGGTTTCTTAAATTAAATCTTGAATTGTCACGCGAGGTGGGTCTGTGGAAAAGTTCAGCTCGTCAGGCTTCGTATATCCGAAGATATTAAGCGTCAATAATAAAAGTGTATAGTACTACTAATAAAAGTGTATAGTACTACTAATAAAAGTGTATAGTACTACTAATAAAAGTGTATAGTACTAATAATAAAAGTGTATAGTACTACTAATAAAAGTGTATAGTACTACTAATAAAAGTGTATAGTACTAATAATAAAAGTGTATAATACTACTAATAAAAGTGTATAGTACTACTAATAAAAGTGTATAGTACTAATAATAAAAGTGTATAGTACTACTAATAAAAGTGTATAGTACTACTAATAAAAGTGTATAATACTACTAATAAAAGTGTATAGTACTAATAATAAAAGTGTATAGTACTAATAATAAAAGTGTATAGTATTACTAATAAAAGTGTATAGTACTAATCATAAAAGTGTGTAATAAAAACGAGCGTTCGCATTCGAGAAGCAAACATCACTTCTCCTGGCGTCGACACTACATTCTCGTAGGCACTGATGGAACCATCAACCGCACCAGAACATCAACAGGCCGATGCGCCCATCTCCTTCTTGAATGATGAGTTGAAGGTCAGTTTTCAGTTTAGTTTCAGTTTAATTTATTTGGTATAGCCCTGTGAGCCATTACGGCTCTTTAATCGGGCGCAACCGCAACAAACAAAAAACAAAAACATGAACAAGAAAACATCTTAAAGTGACTATGTGACTGTGCAAACAGAAAATCCAGGAAAAAACAGCAAAATATTCCTGAAAAAGCACCGTACACCAACGGTGTGTGCAAAAAATCCCAGGTCAGCCACAGTAGCGCGATTGTAACCATGCAGCCTAAACTTTGGACCACACGGTAACCCACTGCAGTCTGCGCCCCTTCGACTTAGGAGGAGGAGGAGGAACAAGAAGCCGACACGAACCTTCTCTCTCTCTCTGCTGAAGCCCTCTCGTTGCGATCGGCAGCAGACCTCGACATTGGCATTAAGCTCGTGAACCACATTGCTGCTGCCGTGAAGTGAACACGGAACCCCATCACACGCAACCTGCCGACAGACACAAGACGAGTGGGGGTGAAGGCTGAACCGACCTGCACCGTGACTTGGGCTCACGGGATCCTTTTGCGACGGTAATGTATGTTGCCACATCGCTGCAGTTCCACGATCACGGCACTAACGCAATGTTCAATGCAGTCACTAGCAGCGTGTCCAAGTCATTCCGTTGTGAATTTCTCAAAATGCTAAATCCCAGTTTAACACGTACGCTTTCGCGACCAATATTATCCATGAGAGGTTGTTTGGGGTTATATAGCGTAGACACTAATGTGTCGTTAAACCCGCCACCACCCGACACAGCCAATTATTAAGGGTTGTCACGGAAAGAAAACATGCCAATTCGTTACAAATACAGCAACACCGCTGTGTTGCAGAGTAAACCTACAACATTTACAATTCGAGTACGACGTTTCGCCAGTAATTACAACCATCAACATCATCAGGTGACAGACAGATTTGTGGAGAATTCCTCCTGTTTCGTTCTTCTTAAATGTCGGGTGGTGGTGGGTTTAACGACATATTCACAATTACGCGATCTAAGCCCAAAACTTCTATTATGGATCATACTAAATCCCCATCAGGATGGTACATTTTCGCATTAAATATTTTGATAGAGTGGCGAAATGTTAACCACCTCGCCTGGTATGCAGGAGGTCGTTGGTTCGATCCCGACCCTGACGCTTGCTGCTGCATATTTGGAATGTGCGTGTCTCTCTCCCCGTGGTCGCATGGATTTTTTTCCGGGTCCTCCGGTAAATCCCGACACGTGTGGAATCAACATCACCACGCGTTTAGAGTATTTGGCTGTGATACATTTCCACGGGATGATGATAAGCCACCACGTTGAGCTATCATTTGTGGCCAGGTCGCTTCTGAAAAAGAGCTAAATCGCTAAGTAGGCCTTACCTGGTAAAATAAAAAAGATTGTTTAATAGTTTCTGATATATGCAGTTATCCTTTTAAATGCCGCAGCGTATTTATTAATGTGTTGATTTATTTTATTAGTTTTTTTTGTGCTTGTGCACCCACTGCCAAACGCAGTATTACCATATACATTCAATAATTCGCGTCCTTGTTAAAACGTGTCATTTCGGTTAATCTGAATTACAATCCGGTCGAGGACACCGCCAGCCACGCGTGAAACGCGGAGGCGCTGTGGAGCCATTACCGAGGCGCTGGCGCCCTCTGCAGGGCGCGTGAGGGGCCGTGCCGATTGAAATGCAGCGGTGGTGGCAGTGGGGGGGGGGCTTCGTGGTGAACGCCGGCAAGGGCGGTCGTGCAGCCATGCGGTTGCTGGCTCACGACACTGCCGGCGGACGGACTCCCACCAGAGGGAGCTGTAGCTCTAAAGAGCCCCTCTCTGGACGGTATATCGGCCTGATCGTCCACGCCAATCTGTTTTTGTGTACGGCGCTCTGGCTCACGAGCAAGATGCCCGTGTCGTGGTCTGCTGCTGGCCAAGACGAGAGGGCTTCAGGAGAGAGAGAGGGCGTTGTGCAGTTTAACTCTTTTCTGGAGTAATTTATGACATGGGGGGTTGTATAACGTCATTATTATTACAATTCCCTGAATTATGTATTGGTTAACTGACAGCATTAGCATCATAAGGCATTATGTATGGTATGTAAAGTTACAATGATTAAAATACGTATTACGGGCTTGTGTTGAGTGGACAAGAGATAAAATAATTGTCAACATTCATTACCACAGCATAGCACAAAACAATACAAGAAAAATGTAAAACACGATTACAAAGTCCTGGGAAACCGATATCGCGATAAATGGCATATCCCAAAAAATATCGTCTCGTGCATGGCGCGTTCACGTTCATCATCGCAGTTGCAGAAGCGCACATCCAAGCAGAGAGACAACACACAAAATGATTGCGTCACGATGTAACATGGGAATATACAAATGCACATTTTTATTAATTTCAGTGTCTTGACACTGCGTCGCTTGCAGCAAATACATTTTTTCATTAAAGCAGAGAAACGTGTGACATTTTTATTGCAGTGTTATTAGTCACATTTCCGAGAGCATTAAAATAAATATTGCCAGTGTAATATTCCTTTCATCAATTATTGTGGTAATTGCACTCTCTCTATCTCGCAGGCTTCAGAGAATATCTAATCTCCCCTAACCCCGTGGGATTCTCGAGTGGCCGTGGCGGCGTCTGTACAGAAGAAGCCCTGCAGGGCCCACAATGAACGGAAGGTGGCAGCCAGAGAATATCATTGCGATTTTCCTCCCGGTATTTTGGAAGATCCTGCAAACGAGGACACCACTGCCGTGGGCTTGGTGCTGTAGCTCCGAGACGTGTTTCCGGGTTGTATCGCGTATTGTTCAACACGATGTCCGACGTTTCGCTCCACGTGCTGGGTCTGCAAAAGATCAAATTGAGCTGCTCACTTGAATAGCGTTGGCAGCTGCAGCACCAGCACCAGCTGCAGCACCAGCACCAGCTGCAACAGCAGCACCAACTGCAGCACTAGCTGCAGCACCAGCTGCAACACCAGCTGCAACACCAGCTGCAACACTAGCACCAGCTGCAACACTAGCACCAGCTGCAGCAGCAGCACCAGCTGCAGCACCAGCACCAGCTGCAACACCAGCACCAGCTGCAGCACCAGCTGCAATACCAGCACCACCAACAC